TTTTTTTTGTAAGAGGTGCAGCTGCTGAGAATTATTTTTGTTTCTTAACCGGTTTGGCTAGTGTCATTGCTATGTGTGCAAAGCATAGCCAAGGAAGGTATACTTAATTTTAATTTTATACGTTTTTTATCAAGCTTGCTTAATATTGTGCACAGCATACAACCTATATTGTATGTATTTATTGTATTTTATTTATTAATGTTAATATTTCTGTAGAATTTTAGAGTCTTTGTTTTTATCCTTGTGGTATTGAAAATGGTATCGAGTATCGAATATTTTCCTTAGTATCGGTATCGAGTTGAAAAGTTTAGTATCGTGACAACCCTACTTCCTATCACCTCCTCCTTCCCCCCAGTGAGGAGTTGTACAGCTTGATGGCTTGAGTCCAGCAGTCTGTTGCTCCTGGATTTGGGGAGCAGCAATCTCCCTCTGATCAGGTTCCTCTGAGGGGTGAAGACGGTCTGGCATTGTCCATAATGTCCAGCAGTGTCTCTGCCACCGTCCCCAGAGGGTCCAGCTTCCAGCCAATCACAGAGCCGGCTGGCCTTCCCAGTTGGTCCAGTCTGGAGGCGTCCTTCATGGAGGTGCTGCTCCCCCAGCACCACGGCGCAGAAGAGGACACTGGAAACCATTAACATGTGTCTGTGGAATATTTACGCACTCCATATGGAGAATTTCTTCATGTGCTCAAAGGTGTAACAGGGAATAAAGAAGGACGGTGATTTCAGTCAGGTGATGGATGCAATAATTATTCAAGAGGTTGGAATCCTCTATGGCCAGACAGGCAACACACCTGCATATATGAAGAACCTTCAACAAAACATCAAACATTTTATTCCCATTGCATTAAAACCTACTCAGGAATAGATTTCTTTCTGATATCTAAAACTTTAGAAGATCAGTGGTGAGTTTTGTCATTGCGGCCATAGTGATCAGTGACCCTGCTGACTACTGCAGTCAAAGAAAGGACATCGCAGGATTAGCACCATGTTCTTACAGAATACATGATTAATGAAGAGCTTTCAGAAGATCTCAAAATGGGATAATATGGAATCCACAGAAAAACTAGAACTATGTGGGAAGCATCTAAAGTATAACTGCATATGTAGATATTATGATAACGACGTTAAGAAGGAGTTACTAAAACGATGACATTTATTATGAGTTATTACGATAATCACGTTTAGAATGAGTTACTAAAACGATAACGTTTATTGTGAGTTATTACAACAATAAAGACGTTNATTTATATTTTTTTAAAACAAAGCGGTGCGTGTATGACATCATCCACGCGGCAGACTGTAGTAGTGACAGGCAGCCCGGGCCACAGGCGGCGACGCTCTACCCCTTCTATTCATTCTAGCTAACCTGAATGGTTCATCTGGAGAGCGAGATCATCTGTGGTTGCAGCAGTAGACATCTTCCAGGCATGAGAGGAAAACTAGCATCAGTTCAGCGGACAGGATGGATGAACGGTAGCTGGCGTACGGATGATGTCATACACGCGCCGCTTTGTTTTTAAGCTTTCCCTTTAAGCTGCAGAAGCTCCAGCGTTGAACGCTCCAATGAGCGTCTACCACCGCCTGGCTGGGCTGCAGGACCTTTCCTGCACTGCTAGATGTCCTCCACCATCAGCTTCCCATGTAGATCAGATGCTCTGAAGCCCACAACACGTTTGGTCTGAGAGCAACATTTAGCTGATGCAGGAAGATAGACCTGTAGAGGTCTGTGCTACAGATGATCTGGAGAAGCCTCTGACTTTATCAGCTTCTTTCAGTCATTAGCTCTGATGATGATGATGATGATGGAGGCAGAGATCAGACTCTCCACAGCAGACTGACAGCAGATCTGCAGCATCTGAAGGACCTCAGCTTCCTCTAGAAGTCCAGTTAAACTCCACTGGTATCATTTTACAATGATATCCACAAAGTGAGAAGTATTGCTAAAAAACCTCAGAGCTTCCCTTTTCTAATAGAAGATAAAGGAAGAATGTTCTCAGATTTAATCCCGGTCTGGAGAAGAGCCAGATTAGCGCTGAATCTAAAAGGCGTCCTGTAGGTCAGGCCGGATCACTTACAGTCTTCGCTTTGTTCAGGTGATTCATGCAGATGTAGCCTCGGTGGCGGCTGCGCAGGTAGACCACATAGATGGGGGCACATATCCACAGGTAGAGGCATGGCACCCACACCAGGACGGTGTTTTGGAAACACGGAGTGACGTCCGGATTAGAGGTATTCCAGGTTCTGTTCCAATCCTGATAGGAGAAAAAGGTCAGAAGGTTAAAGACGATGAGAAACAATCAATAGTTCAAGGTTTCCCAACCTTCTTTGACCTGACTTCCTCTTTGGTCATTGAGTCTTACCATCAGCCCCCCCTTAGATAAAAGCATTGATGACTGACGTTCTGATTCAACTAATAAATAAACATTTTATTTGAGCATTTTATTCTTTCCATCTTCCATAAAAACAACATAAACATGTTTCCAGGATGTTAGTAAAGTGGGACCTGTGAGAGTGACGGCTGCAGACTAGCCTGGCTCCTGAAACACACTTTAAACTTCTCTTAAAGTCAATCTTTGGGGGGGGGCTGAGCCTCGTCCCTCTTCCTATTAGGGTTGTCAAAAGTATCGATACTCAAAAAAGAATCGATACTGAAATGTTGTATCCGGATACAATACTCGTTTTTAAAAGTATCAATACAGTGCCACCACCAGTGGCACCTAAGCAGTCATTCATCTAAAGTGCAGAATAGAGGA